GCCGCCCTCCATGTCCTGGTACTGCTGCGCCGACAGCAGGCTGCGCACCGACTCGGCGCTGCGGAACTGCACGGACGAGTTGAGGGTGCCCAGGGTGCTCAGCTTCTCCGACACGTTCATGCCCGAGTCCTTGCTGAGGTCGGGCATGGAGAACCGCGACAGGTGCTCCTGGCGCTTGGCGCCGCCGTCCGCGGAGAGGCCTGCGGGGAGAGGACAGGGCCCTGGAGGTTAATACGGCGGGAATGGGGGCCACGGTGGCTGGGAGGCATCTGAGTGCTCATCCCCCTGGGTCGCTGCGTGTGGCCGTGCAGAGGACACCTCTGTGCCGGGAAAGGGCGCAGGAGGGCTCTCCCCACCCGCCGCGGGCAGTGCCCACCTAGGAGCCCCCGCTGAGGTGCATCCGCAGAAAGGCTTGACCCATTAATTTCCTGCAGAGGCTCCTCAAAGCTACCAGGAGCCCCTTGGGCATCTGGTGTGCGCTGCTGCTCCATTTAGAATTTCACTCTCCACAGCGCTCCCAGGGCCTCTGGGAGTCCATGGTCAGCCAGCCACTGAGGGCGGGTATTTTGGCCCAGGAACCTTTAAAGGCGGGCCATGCCCACGCACTTCCTGGCAAAAACCAAGCCTGGACTCTGGTCCCATGACGCTGGGCCAGCTCAGTCCCCTGCCAGCTTCCAGCAGTTCCCTCATCTGCCTGATGTCCCTCACATGTCTTGAAAATGAACACCTCCCTGGGTGTAGACAGAGGGACATGCACTTCCCCAGGCTGTTTGGTAAATGAGTGATCCAGGTTCTAAAGGGGCCCCCCTCAGCCCGAAGATGTGAGTGGGACTCGGGGACAGTCCTTCCCCCGGGAGGCACTTTTAAAACAAAGCAGTGACCCTCATGCTCTCTAACAGCAGGGGCTCCTAGCAGTGGACCTGCATCCCCTAAGTGCTGTCACTGGTATTACTGACATAAAAACCATTTTGAAGGTCATGGGAGATTCCTGACTCAGTCACTTCCATTCTGCCCATCATAAAGCAGCAATCTAAAGAGAAACTTAAGAATGGACCAGGTGGCAAAATCCCATCATTTCTCACTCATTATCTATCTATCTATCTATCTATCTATCTATCTATCTATCTATCTATCATCTATCTCTCTATCTATTGACTTCAGAGAGAGAGAGAGAGAGAAAAACATCAATGCTGAGAGGGAATCATTGATTGGCTGCCTCCTGCACGCTCCCTACTGGGGATCAAGCCCAAAACCTGGGCATGTGCCCTGACCAGGAATCGAACCGTGACCTCCTGGTTCATAGGTTGATGCTAAACCATTGAGCCACACTGGCTGGGCTCATTATCTATTGAAAGGATCAGCAATTATGCCTTTTCTGGTCACAGACAACATGTCTTTGGATTGCTAAGGCCCATTATGACCCTACCATGATTACTCCTCCTCATTTACTGAGGCCAACAACTTGCTTCTGCTCCCTGATAAATGAATATTATGAGCACTTTAAAAAACTGCTTATCAATATCTACTAAAGCTACACACACACACAGAGATTGTGAAAAGGCTGCTTTGAATGTGTCCTTTTTTATGGACTTACTCATTTCTGTTGGGTATATGAGATTCTATGACTTTCCATCACCACTTCTGATTACATACCCAACAGAAATCCATTCATGGGTCCAAAAAAATGCACAAGGGTATTCAGAGAAGCTTTCTTTAGAAGAGCCCAGAACAAGAAACAACTCAATCTTTCATTAGCAGGAAAAGGATAAGTAAATTGTGGTACTTTCTAACCTTCCCACTAAAAGGGGCTAGAACTCTGGAGAAATGGCCAGTTCTTGGACAGGAGAAGGGAAGGGAAGAGATGAGTCTGGAACATCATGTTATGCCAAACAGTAAGGAAGTGTTAGAGATAAAAAGGGCTGGGAGTTTGTCAGAAGGACACAGGGCCAACTTCAAGGGTTCCCACTAGCCAAAGCTGAGCAACGTGAGCATTATAACATTTAACACAGTAATGACTTATAAGCCACTGAACAAACAGGCACACATGAGTCCACACTGACAACAGATAAAAGCATCAATGAAGGAAAGGGGGAAGGAGTGGGCTCTTGTATACAGAACGCTCTGAGGGAGTGCAGACAGGAGTGCTGGGTTTGTAACCATCCCTGTAAAGGCTGGTTCATGCAACAGAAAGTATGCTACGTTTCGGGGGTGAATTTGATGGGGGTGGCAGATTATTTCCATGTTAGTGTCTCCCTCCCATATTGCTTATTACCTGTAAGGGGAACTTTAGTAACCCTGCAGTGGAGATAAAACTTAACATCACTGACGAGGTGCAACTGGACTTCTTGTGCTTCTAAATAGGATGTTCTAAGAGGCACACACTATGACTTACGCAGTGTTTCAGTCAAGAATACATATCCAGGATGAATTCAGAAGTACGATTAGAACATCCAAAGGAGGAATGTTCTAATAAGAAGAAAATAGATTGTATTCTTTACAAAATTCAGTATCAGCAAGACTAAGAAAGGTTTTCTAGGCCGAAGGATACTAAGGAGCCATGGCAGACACTGCCTGAGCCTAGACTGGAACCTGTTCTGCAGCAAGGATCTATGCTATAAAGGATGACTGCTGATCAACCGACAAAAACTGGGACATGGGCAGTGATAAGTGCATTGTGGTACACTAATTGTGGTTAGTGGATAGTTATGATAGTGTTGGAGACGATCCTTATTCTTGGGAAATACACATGGAAGTCACAGTGGCAAATGGCCAAGGTGAATGCAACTTGCTCTCAAACAGTCCAAAAATAAATTGCATGTGGGCAAGAGAGAGAAAATGATGTTTAAAATGGGGCAAAATATTAACAGTAGGTGACTCTAGGTAAAGAACGCACTGTGTCTATTATTTGTTCAATTTTTGTAACTTTTCACTAAGTTTGAAATTATCTGTGTATATATATAAAAGCCAAGCAACCTGAACAACCAGAATGACTGGTCGCTATGACGTGCACTGTGGCCAGCCAACCAGCCCTATTGGGAGCAGGGACAGCCGGCCAACCTCCCGCAGCCCCTTCCCCTGGCTGGCCCAGTCCCGATTGGGGCAGGTGGTCAGACCCCACCTGTGCACGAATTCGTGCTTTGGGCCTCTAGTTTACAAATAAAACGTTTCTTTAAAATTGTGGTATATTTATGTGACACAGTGGTTTTCAATTCCAGGGGAAATTATGGGGCTTGGGAGGTGCTACTTGCCCCTAGTGGGTAGACGCTAGAGAGATGCTGCTAAATACCCTACACTGCACAGGGCAGTCCCCACAAGAAAGAATTATCCAGCTCACAATGTCAGTAATGAGAAACCATGACACTAGGGGATACTACACATCAATAGAATGAATGACTACACCCACCAATATTGATGAATCCCACAGGAATTGAGAAAAAAAAGAGAACACAGTGTATGATTCCATTTATATGAAGTTCAAGAACAGGCTAAGGCTATCTATGGTGACAGAGGTCAGAATGGGGCGGGGGTGGAAATAAGGGGAACCCCAAGGGCACTGAAAATGTTCTGTATCTAGATCTGGGTGGTGGTTATAAAAGGACAGGCATATGTAAAATTTTTTGAGGTGTAATTTCAACACTTGTTCGCTTTACCTTATGTAAGTTATACTTAAAGCAATGCTCTCATTAAAGAGCCAAATTTAAATGTCGGATATGTCTGTTAAGAAAGTATTATGGCCCACCCAGTGTGGCTCAGAGGTTGAGTGTCAACCCAGGAACCAGGAGGTCACGGTTCCATTCCTGGTTAGAGCACATGCCCGGGTTGCAGGCTCAATCACCCAGTAGGGGGCAAGCAGAAGGCAGCTGATCCAAGTTTCTCTCTTATCACTGGTGTTTCTGTCTCTCTGTCTGAAATCGATAACATATTAAAACAAGAAAGTATTCTGACAAACAAACCGTCCAGCCATCCATCTATTTTTTATTTCATTACTGGGGTAACTGTCAGGCAAGAGGAGTTGAGTCCGCCAACTCCTGCTTCCCCAGCTGCCTAGCTCTGACGTACACATCACCATCGCTCCCACAACCTTCCCCATCTGAAGGCGGAGAGAAGAGGTAGAAACCTGAGATGATAATGAGTCCTGTGAGCGGATCAACTTCAGAAAGGAGGGAAAATCTTCAAAGATCGCATGTAGGAGCAAAAGCTCTACAGGCAGGCGCACTGATCTTTGCGCAGCTGTCTACTCACGCCCTGGAGTGGAATTAGGCTCAGCATTAACAATCTAGCAAATACTACACATTCCCAGACATGCTGTTCTCCCGAACCCGTCTTCTATACGCTCTGAAGTCAAGCACTTGTGAGAACGTCCTGCGGCTGCAGAGATTCAGGTCCCACTGAGGAGGTAACGGTGAAGACAGGCAGCGTTAGTTCCACTGGAGGGTGCTGCCCTCCCCTCTACGGGCCTGTGTCCTGGGACTTGAGGATGCCCCTAGCCCACCCGCTCTGGAAGAGCAGGGGGGCCCCTGCGCAAGGCCAGGGCCCACTCAGTGTTACCTACACCTAAGCTCTTCCCCCAGCGGTTGTGTGGTGGGATTGGAAATGCTACCTGCTCTGTCTGTTCTCATTTATTAACTCAGAACTTTTCCCAGGAGCTTCTTGCACACAGGACATGAATAAAATGGCCGATAGATGAGCAATAATTGTGTACTTGCTTCTCAACAGGGTGGCTCTGTGGCAAAACCCAGAGTCCTTATGCAAAATGCAAGGCCCTCTGTCTCCCCACAACCACTGGCTAAACGGTGCTCCTTGCTCCCCCTGTTCAGCCTCACTTACATTCTCCCTCCTCCTCCAGCGTACCTGCCAGCCCACTCCAGCCCCTTTGGAAAACTCTCCCTTTTGCAAAGCTGACTTCCTCTAATCAAGGGCCTCAGGTAAATGTCACCTCTTCCATGGTGCCTGCCGAGCTCGCTCTTTCTAAAGTAGTGAGGTTTTCCCCACCAACCAGTCTCACTGTAGTACCTGACCCTTTGGAAGGCCCCCGTCCTGACTTATTTTCCTCAGTGTGTGTGTGTATGTCTGTAGCTGAATGAATGCCCACGGGAAAGGGGTCTTTTTCTCGTGCTCACTGCACTCTCCTGGCAGCAGCACTGACTGGCACCCCACTGGTGCTCAGGAAATATTTGTGGAGTTGAGATCAGTGACTCCT